GAGTTTTAAACCCTGGTGAACATGGCAGATAGAAGGGGGGTGTTGGTGAAAACAATGGGGGAAAGCTGCTGGGTGATGCTAACTTATATGAGTTCACATTAAGAGTGGACAACTTCCTTTGCCAACCCTCCTTTCTTCACCCTTCAATTCAACCTCAGTAGCTGTTATAGAATAGAACCATACATGGTTTGAAATGGACAAAACATTGGGTTGTGATCTGGATAAAGAAAAGAAAAGCAATGTGCAAAATATTGAGAAAGCTATACCAACAATACCAAGTTTTTTTTCTTGAAACTGGGACCCCAGATACCCTGTGACACTGGTCGGATATGTTTGAGCCATGTGACAAGGCTAAAAGATTTTTCAGCAGTGTGACATGCTCAGAACATATCCGAGTGATGTCACACCACTGAAATATTTCTAGCCACTCTGGCACACCTCAAATATTTCTGGCCAGTTTGACTTGGCTCAAACATTTCTTACCAGTCTGACACACTTCAAATATTTCTTACCAGTCTGAACCCCTTCAAATATTTCTGACCACTTTCACTTGACTAGGATATTTTTGAACACAATTTATCTACCCAAAAATTTCTCGTCACAATATTAAAGGTCAAACATTTTCTACCCAATCCAATATTATATTTTCTCCCAAGGCAAGAAAAATAAATGGCCACACAACCTATTAGCCTGGATACATTCTTACATTTTACAAGGCTAATAGCTTGTTCAAGGTGGGTGACTGAAGTGATTAGGAAGTGGACTGATGTCTTTGCCACTACTGTTCGGTGGGTTATGCATTAAACTCTTCGCGTTTTTTCTATTAACTTGGCATGGCAGAGCTGCACGATATCAACAGGAATTAAGGCAAGATTTACAGATTGACAACAACCGCAAAAGAAGCAAAGAGGTACCTGTTCCAGGCAAGAGCGGCAGGAAGACTTCGGCCACCAGTTCACCTTCCGAAAGGTTCGCACCCTCGAAGGAAAGCCAGAAAGACTTCAAGCAGATATTTAGGAGCAAATGGCGTAAGTTGCAAACATGAACTATTGTCACATTTTACTTATTTACATCTAGACAAGGCTGTTCCACACCCGAAGAGTACAAGAACCATGATGCCGTTGACGACATTCGCAAACTACGCAGAGACGGAGAAAGTTGCACTCACTGGGTGGCCTTCGAACAAGGTCGACACTCCCTTGGGCCCGAATTTTATATCAAACAGGCTATCTCAGAAACAATGGGCATTGCTCGCCAATTTGTTGGACTTGGGGAAGATGAAGATCACTCCTTGGGATCAAAGTAAGTCCTGTCCATGGTTTAATGGCCCACCATGATCATGATTTCAATAGAATTGCTTCAAATATCAGAGAATAGTGCCCAGTATGGCGAAATCCCCCTTGTCTCCAGTTTCAATGGCAAGGCCATGGTTTTTGTGAAGGACTTGCAACAGTGGATCAACCAATTCTGCAAGATTCAAGGGGATGGGAGGAGAACAGCAGGGAAAAGGCCACATGTTGAGGAAGAGGGAGAAAAAGATACTGATGATCTTCAAGGTCCATCGTCCTGCCCGTCTTCCCTGCCTTTGAAAAAGAGGAAGGTCAGCTTTGTTACTCTTCCTAAGGCCAGCTTCTACAACAACCATCGTGGCACTCTGAAATCCTACAAGGTCGATCCTCGATTCCACAACTCCACATCCAGCTCTTCAACTTTGAAACCAACTCCTCAGGTCACTAAGGATACTGAAGCATTTTTCCGTGCCACTAAGGGTGCCTCCACCTCCTCATCTGCAAAGCGTGCTTGATGATGTATGTTTGACTTTACGATCATTTTATTATTGCTTACTATTGAATGTCTACCAGCAACTTAGCATTATCTTGGTCTAACTAACTTGGCATTGTCTTGGTCTCTCCTTACCAGCTGTCTCTTTACTTTACAAGTGTTTTATATCTTGGTCTAGTTAACTTGGCATTACATAGATCTCCCCTTACCAGCTGTCCCTTCACTTTACAACCATTTTATCTTGCTTACCATTGAGTCCCTCCTTCCTACTTGCCCCTCTTTTCGATCCACCTCATAACTTTACTCTACAATCATCTTATTACTGCTTTCTTTCGAACCAAAACTAGTCTATCCTTGATGTTTACCACCAGATCAAAATGTGTTTTCATGAAAGGTTGTGAAATGTTTTTTGACAAGTTCAAAAATGTTTGGCTGAATTAAGAAATCTTTGTAAGATATTTTTGACTTCAGAAATGATTGGGCCCCAAGTATTTCTTACCAAAATAAAAGATCTTTGACTGGATAAGAAATCTTCTTCAAAATGTTTGTACTGACAAGAAATGTTTACAAGTTCAAAGAACTTTGACTGGATAAGAAATCTTCTTCAAAATGTTTGTACTGACAAGAAATCTTTATGAGATATTTCTTATCATATTTGGAAATGTTTGGCTTGCAAAGAATTCTTTTGAATGAATATTTACCTGGAGCAAGAAATGTTTTGCAAACTAAGAAAACTTTTTGATATCTTTTGGATATTTTTGACAAGTTAATAAATGTTTGAGTGCTGAAGAAATATTGGTGAGAAAAAGTAAGGCAGTAGTTCATATTTATTCTTCAGCATCAAAGAATCCTTGTTGGTGAAAGTGGGTTGGGTGTGATGTTGGATATCACATGTGGGGAGTTTGACTGGGGGGGATGCTAAGGTGCAATTGGAGATCTCAGAGCTGAAGTAGAGGCAGAGGTGGAGGGGAGGGTGGTCAAAGGGAATATAGAGAGAGACACTGAGCAGAGGTTTTGGGGAGAAATTTAGATGAGTTTTGAGTGGTGAACATGGCAGATAGAAGTGGGGTGTTGGTGAAAACAAGGGGGAAAGCTGCTGGGGGATGCTAACTTAGATGAGTTTTGAGTGGTGAACATGGCAGATAGAAGTGGGGTGTTGGTGAAAACAATGGGGAAAGGCTGCTGGGGGATGCTAACTTTGATGAGTTCACATTGAGAGTAGACAACTTTCTCTGGCAACCCTCCATTGTTCACCCTTCAATTCAACCTCAATAGCTGTTATAGAATAGAACCATACATGGTTTGAAATGGGCAGAACTTTGGGTTGTGATCTGGATAAGAAAAAAAAAAGCAATGTGGAAAATATTGAGAGAACTGCGCCAGAAAAACCAAGTTTTTTTTTTTTGAAACTGGGACCCCAGATACTCCGTGACACTGGTAGGAAATATTCTAGCTATGTGGCAAGGCCAAAAGCTTTTTTAGCAGTGTGACATGCTTAGAATATATCCAAGCAATGTCACACCACTGAAAAATTTCTAGTCACTCTGGCACACCTCAAACATTTCTTACCAGTCTGACACCCTTCAAATATTTCTGGTCACAATATTAGAGGTCAAACATTTTCTATCAAATCCAATAATATATTTCCTTCCAAAGGCCAAAAAAAAACTGGCCAGAGGATCTATTAGCCTGGATAATTTTTCAAGATTTCCTAGCTAATAGCTTGTTCAAGGTGGGTGACTGAAGTGACATCTATATAGTAAGTATATTTTAGTAGAAAATATGATGAGAACTACGAGGCCTTCAAATGTGGGAAGAAATCATTTTCATGGGAAAAAGTCAAATTTCAGTGTTACCGTGCTGAAAAAAGCCTTGAGATCCTGGGTAATAAACGAGTCTCTTCGTAAACTCAGAGGACTCGTAACAATGAAGGCAACAGTTAACAGGACACATATACAGATGCAACTCGATAAACACTATTTGCGGTGGATTGGATCACTTCAGTCACCCACTAAGAACTGACTATTAGTCTTGCAAACTCCATGAATACTACAGGACTAAATGTCAGGGTGTATATCTATATCCTGGGGCTTGTATATCTCCACTTTTACGTGAATATATTTTGACGTCCAATGTCACACCAAATACATTTCTAGTGTGTCACACACCCCAAAATATATTTCTTCACTGAGATGGACACCAAATATATTTCTTATGCCTGGACCCTGAATTGTGACTGTCACACTGTAGAAATATATTTCTGGTCTGGGATGGACTTAGGATATATTTTGCAGCTGGGGTTGACCAAGGATATATTTCTTCAGCCACTAGGGGTGTCTGGGGTCCCAGTTTCTAAATAAAAAAACTTGTGATTTTCTGTAATGTGGGACATATATTCCAGATGATGTTTCTACTATTTTTAGGGTTTTAGCCACCATCTGGAGCTGTGTTTCCTTGACTGTTTGTAGGATATAGACCACTATCATGGCTTCCAACAGTCTAACTGTCCAGTTCTTTCTCATGGCACTTGAACATTGTGGATCAAAACCATTCAAGTTGGAGGACTATGGCTTGAGCAATGAACATTCTAGATCAGAACTGTTCAAATTGGAGGGTTTTGACTTGGGCAATGAACATTCTAAATCAAAATCATTCAAGTTGGAGGACTATTATATATTGGTTTGCTCACCCAAGAGCCACTGCTCAATCCATGTGATCCACACTTGGATGGAAGTTTTATGGTCACACCGTAAAGCTCACAACAACACTATATCATTTGCTTTGGTGTGACTTTGATTGCTCATATGACAAGGGATTCAACTCCCTTATCTTTGGTACATATTCATTTACTTACTTTCCGCTAACAGAACATGAGTGCTTTCCTCACAGTCACATGCCACTTGAGTAAACCACACACATGTACAATAGTATCATCATCCTATTCTTTATCAGCTTCTGAAAGAAGCATGCTACCATACTTTCACCATCTGAGGTAAGTAGTGTTGTTCTGAGTTGATCACTAACAGTCTACTGCATAAGAAGTGTTAGCTCATCAGATTGCAATCTCATCCCCAATCCATACATCTGTCACTCAACTTTCCATGGATTTTTTGGAGAGTTGCTAGGATTGTAGCATCGGATTTCCATCATAACATCAATCCTCACTTGAGTGTGATCATAGACCATCTCCTTCACAGGAGAGGATCCTCACACCTTTGACATTGTTATCTGATCTTGACGACAAGAGACTGCTGGGATACATGGAGTTGGTGACTCCTCATATTAGAACTTGTGTTAGAGGCCATTGCAAGCATGGCAGAAACGAGTCCTCCTTTTTTTGCAAAGGCAATAGAAACCAATTTCTACTTTTTCTCCTTTTTTCTGTCTTTCTGGGTACATTTTTATCACAAACCAGTAAATCTTCCTATATAAGTCTTCTTCTGGATTCTAAACAAATTACCCCAGCATCATCACCATCAATAAAAAATATTTCTATGTTTTTCTTATTTTTTTCTTATTTTCTCATTATATGCAGGTAGATTACCATATTTGGAAATCTACCCTAGAGCCTGAAACTGTTACCCAACATCATTACTAACAATAAGCACCATCCTTCAATTTTCACAGATTTTATGACTATTTTTAATGGATTACCATATTTGGATGTCTGCTCTATACCCTGAACACTTTAGCAAACTTATACTACAAAGTTTACTAATATACAATAAAAGACTGCAGATGTCAGACATAGACTACAAAGTTAGATTATCTCTACAACAGGAGCACTTTCAGTGTAGGGCTACAACTTCCATTTGTTGACTATTTTTGGTAACTGATCATGTGACAATCATCCCATCATCCCATTACCAATAGGCCATAATAGACAAAGTTATTATTTGCTTGGTTTTCTCCAGTTTTTGGTCAAGGTAGATGATATTTTCTTTTTTGGTATGGACTCTGAAGGTAGTGCCTGACATACTACATACCATTCAAACTTTTTTTTTTCAATTTTTCTGCTATATTCCAGCAATTTTTGGATCTATTACCATATTTGGAGCTGGACTCTTGACCCTGACAACATTACCAAACATTATTGCAGCAATGAGCACCATCCACCATTTTTTTCTGATTTTTTGCCCATTTTCTGGCTATTCTTTGTTATATTACCATATTTGGAACTAGACTCTGGACCCTGACAATGTTACCCAATGATATCTAAGCACCATCCTCCATTTCTATCTGATTTTATAACAGTTTTCTGGCTTTTTTTGGATATATTACCATATATAGAACTAGACCCTGACAACATTACCCAATGTTATCACTGCAATGGGCACCATCCCCCATTTTTTTCTGATTTTCTAGCTATTTTCTGGCTATTTTTGGGTCTATATTACTCTATTTGGAACTAGACTCTGGACTCTGACAATGTTACCCAAGGTTATCACTGGCAATAAGCACCATCCCTCATTTCTTTCTGATTTTCTTGCTATTTTCTAGCTATCTCTGGTTATATTACCATGATGAGACTAGCCTCTGAACCTTGACAACATTACCCAAGGTTATCACCACTATCCTCCATTTTTTTTTCTGATTTTCTGGCTATTTTCTGGCTATTGTTGGCTATATTACCATATTTAGAAATGTACCCTGGACCCTGAAAACAACCTCCAACATCATTACCAGCACTAAGCAGCACCCTCAATTTTTTTCTGATTTTTCTGCTATTTTTCTGCTATTTTACATCTGAAAATGCACACATTTCCTTATTTAGAAATGTGCCCTGAACCCTGAAAACAACCTCCAACATCATTACGAGACCACCCTCAATTTCTTGTGATTTTTGTGATTTTTCTGCTATTTTATTGCTGTTTTACATCTGGAAATGCGCACATTTCCTTATTTAGAAATGTGCCCTGAACCCTGAAAACAACCTCCAACATCATTACCAGACCACCCTCAATTTTTTGTGATTTTTGTGATTTTTCTGCTATTTTATTGCTATTTTACATCTGAAAATGCGCACATTTCCTTATTTAGAAATGCGCCCTGGACCCTGAAAACGACCCCCGACATCGCCACCAACAGTGAGCAACACCCTAAGCTCATCGTCGCAAGCAGCAAGCCCTTTACAGCTAATATAATGTGTATAGGCTGGATTTGTAAGCATCGGAAATCTCCGAAAATGACGTACTTCCCTTGCGGGCTACCTTTGATTTTGAAGGTAGCCCGCAAGGGAAGTACGTCATTTTCGGCTATTTCCAACACTTAGGAAAGTGACTCGATTAGTCATCATTTTTGCGAAAATAAAGATTTCTATGTAGCTCTGCCAATTCTGGTCCAAATGACACGGTTTTTTTTGCAGTATGCACTCCTTATTTGTAGGATTATTGTTCATTGAGAATAGTTGAAGGTAAATATAAATAAATAGTCTGAAATTAAAATTTATACTCTACAGCAGACTTTGGTTTCTGTATGCTGAAGTTGAACCCACGTGATATCACATGGTTTGAAACAAATACAAACAGTTTCATATACAACACGCATATGTACTTTCACATTCACAACATGTATCCTCACCATACAACCTTATCCAATCCACTACAAATAGTGTTCGGCGAGTTGCACCTGTATATGTGTCCTGTTAACTGTTGCCTTCATTGTGGTCTTGGCCAGTCCAAACCCAATGAACTAAATTGTGTATTCTGTAGAGGCTATGTCAGTGTGGTCTTGGCTAGTCCAAACCCAATAATGACATTTGCAGATAACATTGTCACTTGCATTTTGCACACACATCACCCTTGTTCTGACTCTCTAGCTAGCTACCATCATCTTGGCCAGTCCAAATGTGGTTGCGAGTTACCACATAATAATAAACAAGTCTCTTTCTAAACTCAGAGGACTCATAACAACACACTCAAAGTGTTTGAACTGGCCAAGATGACGATGAGCGGATGTCAAAAATAGAAGGGAGAGTCTTTGCAGAAGAGGACACGCGAAACGTGACAATTCGGAAGTATCCGAAAATGACGTACTTCCCTTGCGGGCTACCCTCAAAATCAACCATAGCCCGCAAGGGAAGTATGTCATTTTCGGATACTTCCGAAGACTCAACGTCAACTTCTGCTTGCTAAGTACAAACCCTGTTGTCATTGTCTTGGTCAATCCAAACATGACACAGAGCATTCTGTGATGCCACATCCATTGTGTTGTTGTCGTCTTGGTTAATCCAAACGCAACACAGAGTATTCTGTGATGCCACATTAGCATGGTCATCGTCTTGAACAATCCAAACGCGACACACATAATGCCACATCCAAAGCAGGTGGTGTGCTGTTTGCTTTGCTGTCTTGCACTCTTTGTCGTCTTGGCCAGTCCAAACGATTTGTGCAATGTATCTATCTACCACATCTTGTCTGTTTCCTTTGCATGCTTGTCATTGTCTTGGCCAGTCCAAACAATTCGAGTGCCACATGTCTACCATATCCATCTCACAGCAATATTTTATTTGGGTGGGGATCTGGTCAACTTATAATGCGTGTCTTGACTCTTGCTCATGTGGCTGTGTGTAGTTTGTTGCTGGAATGGTACATTGCTGTCTTGGCTAGTCCAAACACAATGAAAGTTCTCTGTCAATACCCCTTCTATTTTCATGATCTTGAACTCGTTTGGATAGCCCCACACTCCGTGAAGACGCTCCCCCAAACCGTTTACGAAACAGTTGAGGTCTCATGGAGCTAGGTCAGTTTCTATTTTCGCTCTTTTGCCCTTATGCTCACAACTCCCCAGGACCTTAATTTTTGCCGTTTACTGTGGTTGAGGGCTCGTTCGGATACCCCCACGCTCTGTGAAGATGCTCCCCAAAACCGTTTACGAAACGGTTGAGGTCTTGTGGAGCTAGGTGAGTTTGTATTTTCGCTTTTTTGCACTTATGCTCACAACTCCCCAGGACCTTAATTTTCTCTCTTTTCTGTGGTCAAGGGCTCGTTTGGATACCCCCACGCTCCATGAAGACGCTCCCTAAAACCGTTTATGAAACGGTTGAGGTCTTGTGGAGCTAGGTGAGTTCGTATTTTCGCTTTTTTGCACTTATACTCACAACTCCCCAGGACCTTAATTTTCTCTGTTTTCTGTGGTCAAGGGCTCGGTTGGATACCCCCACGCTCCATGAAGACGCTCCCCAAAACCGTTTCCAAAACGGTTGAGGTCTTGTGGAGCTAGGTCAGTTTGTATTTCGTTTTTTTGCCCTTATGCTCACAACTCCCCAGGACCTTAATTTTCTCCGTTTTCTGTGGTTGACAGCTCGTTTGGATACCCCCATGCTCCGTGAAGACGCTCCCCAAAACCGTTTCCAAAACGGTCAAGGTCTTGTGGAGCTAGGGCAGTTTGTATTTTCGCTCTTTTGCCATTATGCTCACAACTCCCCAGGACCTTAATCTGCTCCGTTTTTTGTGGTCAAGGGCTTGTTCGCATACCCCCACACTCCATGAAGACGCTCCCAAAAACTGCTTATAAAACGGTTAAGGTCTCGTGGAGCTAGGTAAGTTTGTATTTTTGCTCTTGTGCCCTCATGCTCATAACTCCCCAGTACCTTAATCTGCTCTGTTTCCTGTGGTTGAGGGCCTGTTCGGATACCCCCATGCTCCATGAAGATGCTCCTTAAAACCGTTTACGAAACGGTCAAGGTCTCGTGGAGCTAGGTGAGTTCGCATTTCGTTCTTTTGCCCTTATGCTCACAACTCCCCAGGACCTTGATTTTCTCCGTTTCCTGTGGTTGACAGCTCGTTCGGATACCCCCATGCTCCGTGAAGACGCTCCCCAAAACCGTTTCCAAAACGGTCAAGGTCTTGTGGAGCTAGGGCAGTTTGTATTTTCGCTCTTTTGCCATTATGCTCACAACTCCCCAGGACCTTAATCTGCTCCGTTTTTTGTGGTCAAGGGCTTGTTCGCATACCCCCACACTCCATGAAGACGCTCCCAAAAACTGCTTATAAAACGGTTAAGGTCTCGTGGAGCTAGGTAAGTTTGTATTTTTGCTCTTGTGCCCTCATGCTCATAACTCCTTAGTACCTCATTCTTGTCCATTTTCTGTGGTCCCAGGCTTGTTTGGATACCCCCATACTCCACAAATATGCCACTCAAAGCCGTTTAAAAAACAGTTGAGGTCTTATGAAGCTATGTGAGTTTATATTTTTCGCTCTTTTGCCCTTGTGCTCAGAACTCCTCAGCACCTGATTCTGCTTCATTTTCTGGTTCTGGACTCATTTGGATACCTCCACACACCCTGAAGATGCTCCCAAAAACTGCCTATGAACTAGTTAAGCACTCTTGAAGATATGTTACGTTCTATTTTTGTCTTTTTGCATTCATACTCACCAACTGCCCAGGACCTTCTCATGGTGGCTCATTTTGCATGGCCCTGGGCTCATTAGGATACCCACACACTCCCTAAAAATATGCCACCAAAGTTGTCATGACCTCAATCATTATATCTTTAATGTAAAGGAGTATAGTTACACAAATGTGAAAATGGAGGCAATATATTCATATGTTAGAGTCTGACAGCCAAGTAGAGCAATACATTAGCTACCACCTACATCAATGACAACATGGATAGGACTAAAAGCAAGTGATAACTAAGAAATAGTAGAGTAGACTGGCAAAGTCGTCAATGCTGAGCAGGCAGCTGATCGTGGGAAGAAATCACTTTTGTGGGAGAAAGTCAAATTTCAGCGTTACCGCGCTGAAAAAAGTCTCAAGATCCTGGGGAATAAACGAGTCTCTTCGTAAACTCAGAGGACTCGTAACACCGCAAGGCGTCCACATACGCCAAGCGATCCTGCCACTTTTCCGCCGCGAGACCCTGCGTGAAGAGAGGAACCCCAGCAACTAAAACTCCATCACTGTCCTCTGGGAAAATGCTGCGTATTAAATTCTCGCGGACACCAGCAGAAGAATCGGAGGTCCACGCTGAGGGCAGAAGATAGCGATCGAGATGGCGTACTTCATAGCGAAGGTTTTGTTCGAAAGCATTCCAGATCACCTGTGCCATCATGAGAAGGGAGAGATGATCAGTTTCTCCTTGCATCGCCACTACGTCACCCCAGTAAACAGTGCCTGGACGATCACCAATGGACACCGCACTCGAGAAGATGGACCCTTGAGCCTCCTTTGCTTTTTGTGCACGACGTTGATTTGAAGGATTAGGCTTCTTTCCCTTGCATGCCACCGAACGAGGCGTTGCTCGTCGAGGGGACTGAAGGCACCAACTGCATTATCTTCGCGAAATCGTGCAAAAAGCTGCGCCAATGTTGAGGCGATGGCAGTTGTGGAGTCGAGTCAACGCCGACAAGGGACTGAAGCCACTGATCCTGCATCATTAACCAGGCCAAGATCATCAATCTCTTATGGTTACCACTGATGAAAAGGAAGGGGTCCGGAAATTGATAGCCACGCAAATTACGCGCAGAAAGGCTAGAAGAGATGCGGCATGGGTTTGTATCCACAGCCGCTAAGGCATTCTTCCATGTGGGGGATTGCGGGGGGACAAAGGAATGTTCAGGCTTGTGAAATTTTGTATGATTGACGGAAGCTATTTCAATAATAATGAATTAGTATCATAACCACCACACAACCTGTAAAAGAGGAACTTACTTTGAGCATTATTGTTCGTGTTGACGCCAGATGTTTGGGCAGTAGTGTTCGCATTGGCGCCAGATGAGCCTACTAAACAGATTCAACCATGGGTAAGCAAGTTTGTTGACTTAAACACAAAAAAAGCCTACCATTGGTGAGTGTCACATTGGGTTGTTGCGATCCGGTAAAAGACTCCACTACAGCCATGCCACTGACGGCGTGCATGACAACAGGCTGGGGATCAATGATACCAAAATGTCCCTCGCGCCAATTTTGGCATGCAGAAACATACTCTCCACTTCGAGGACATGCTGTGATGATGGTGGGGTAGGGTGTCCCAGGATATTCTTTGTATGTGAACTCGCGTGGATCCACGTCATTTGGCAATCGCCCCCGGATGACCGGCATCTTCTCCCAACCAGGTGGAACAATCATGCGGATAATCATGTTGGTTGACAGGTTCGCCGGCGGACGAACACACCAACCAGGTGCACCAACCCGGTAGAGCATGGCAATGCATTCTGTACTGTCTGTGATTGCACCCATGATGGACTCGTCCACTTTGTGGATCTTCCCAGTAGGCTCGTTCAGATGAAATGCCCATTTGGTGTGCAAATCAAACATGGTGAGAGTTTCGAGGTAGACACGTTGAAAACCAGCGATGCGGTAGACCAAGTCACACTTGTGGGTGTGGGCCAGTGCTTTGCATGGCATGTATGAGTCCTTTCTGTGGACTCTAAATTTAATATTAGGAAATTGGTCATGTAATCACTTTATGATTTTCTGAGTTTTGTTCTATATTTGCAAATAGACCCTGAGCTCTGAGCCTAGCCATCAATATCATAGCAACAATGTGTGCTATTATTATTATTATTATTATTTTTCATTTTATAGCAAATTTTCCCAATTTTATAACTATTTTTCTGTTTATGGTAAAATATTCCCACAGTCCTGTTTGCATATATCTCAGGAAAGAGGATGGTTAGTTATATTTTGTGACCTATAATAGCATGCTCTATATATTTGTGATGAATTTCCTTTTTTGGGTTAAAATTCCCACGGTATCAGAAGCACAGCCTCTCACTTAGCTCCATAAACAACAATTGTAGCCCCTTTCCTTACCTTTATAGATATATATAAATAATGTCATGCAGACCATTCTTCATTGAGAAAGACAGAAAATACTGAAAAAATTGGACACTTTTTGGAAATTGTCATGCATTTTTGACCAATATCTCAAAGAGCAAGAAAGCTGGTCTCAAGATATAGTCACATTGCATGATATGACAATATTTTTACATGGTTGTCTTGATTTTCCATATTTGGATATGGACCCTGAATACTGGACACAGCCCCTTCAACACCATGGCAACAGAGAAGATCACTCTTAATTTTGGGGTATTTTTTTCTGATTTTCTGGCAACTTTTAGGTGATTTCTATATTTAGATATTGACCCTGAACCCTGAACACAGCCTCCCCACCTTACTAAGCAATATTCTGATTTTTACATATTTTTTGCTGATTTCTTTTACCATTTTTCCTGATTTTATGGCTGCTTTTCTGTTTAAGGGAAAAGGTTCCCGCGGTGATGAAAGGTAAATGAATCAATGAATGAAAATTTTGCCCAAGTCCTCAGTTGATAAAGAATGAGTCTTACTTGTAAACTCGTAAGGACTCATAATTTAGAAAATGTACAGAATTTGAGCTGAAGAGCGGCATTGACTGTCTTGTTGGCAAGGTAGAAGAGACAACCATAGTCCTTCAGCTGCTTGATCTCTTGACATGCCGATTGAAGTTTCCTAGCTTCATTTCGCAATGAATCCGCGATGTCTTCACGCAAAGTTCCAAGATCACGGAAGGCAGACCCTTTCGCCTCCACAAAATGGTTATCCCCAAGATCCCACCAGCAGAAACTGAGTTCGTGGTTCTTGATGGTAGCCTCAGGTGGCCGCGCTTTAACAAACGGCAGATGCCATTGGCTATCAATAAACCATTGAGGGCATACAGTGAAGTCGGCCCAAGCAAAATGGCTGTCTGCACGTGCACGAACTGGGCAGGGGAGTAATGAGATGAAGGGCATCCAGCACATGTTTGGCGATGTCACGATCATTTGCTTCGGAATCGTTTGACCAGGTTCCAAGTACGGGGGCAGGGTGGGATCTGAATTTAGCGCTCAGTACGCCTCATTGAGCTCTGCCAGGGACAAAGTGTCATACGCCATGAATTCAGCTAGAGAATTATCAGACCTTGTCATGATTCGGAAAAGAAAACTCCTTACATTCCCCTTCGGGACGCTCGTGAAACTGAAAAATGGTGTCTCCGTTAGGATTGTGATAACGTCCAAAGACGTCTGGGCTGCCATCTGATTAACAAATGAGAAAATAACACCACTATCCTGCAAAATGAACCGAACTTACAAGAATGGGCCAAGGGATCCGGGCGAACTGTTCTGGAGGCCATGAGACTTGTCATAGACATAATTCCTACATGTGAAATGGGGTCAGCAGCCATGGTTATCCATGAGATGAGCTTACAGATGCTAAATCTTGAGCCAAATTGCTCGAGTGAAGGAGCACGATGAGCAGAAAGACTGGATTGAAAGAAGATGAGAGATGGTTGTCGAAGATGATTCACGGTGAACTTACCAATACGAAAACTAGCCGATGAGAAGGAACAAGTTGACGACAAACAAGTATTAGTGATCTACTAAGTACAGCTACATATGACCCCATCACGAAGCGACCCCGTCGCGAAGAAATCCACTGACTTAAAGTCTGGTGGATAGTCTGGCAGTTCGTTCCATCGACTGAAAGTCTGATGGATGTGGATCGACTGAAAGTCTGATCCCAAGACAACAAAACTCGAACTCACCTCAACACTCGAGTGCCTAATCAAAGGATGAGGGGATGACTGGCGACTGGTAGCTACCACTTACATCATGTACTCCTGAGCTGTACCATAGAAGTTCCTGCTTAGCTACTGTGAATGAAATGAAATGAATTTTCATTCATTCACGGCACCTGTTTCATTCTAGATAATTTATTCTGTTTCATTCATTCCTGGCGACTGTTTCATTTTTTTCTTTCATTCCACCAGGGCAACTGTTTCATTCCTTGCTTCATTCTTCTCAGGTGCCTATTTCATTGTTAGAGCTGGGAAAATGATTATGTAATTGATACAAAATATTTAAGTGCCTTATTTGGCAACAGCATGCCTATCTCATTGTGTATTTGAGCCTCAAATGCAAAAGTACCCCCATATGGCCCCCCACACCACTGCAGTAGGGCACAACACATATCAGGCATAATTGTATATTATTTCCTTATTTAGATGTGTGTTAAAACATCGAAATTGTTGCCTGAAAGAATGAAACAAAAATGAAATAACTGCCTGGAAAGAATGAAATGAAAATTCCATGGCAATGAATGAATGAAAAAAATGAAACAGTTGCCAGGAATGAATGAAACGAAAGAATAAAGCAAAAAATGAAACAGTTGCCATGGTGGAATGAAATAAAAAAATGAAAGAGTCGCCAGGCATGAATGAAACAGAATAAATTTCATTCTTGTCAGTAGAAATGAAGAAAAAATTGAAATGAAATGAAATGAAACAAAAAGTATTTCATTCTCGACGGCAATGAATGAGAATGACTTGGAATGAAACAGGTGCCGTGAATGAATGAAAATTCATTTCATTTCATTCACGGTAGTTAAGCAGGAACTTCTATGGTACATGCCAGGTTTTACATGATGTAAATGGCAGCTACTAGTGGACTGGCGATGACGGACGGGGTCAGAGGAGACAGCGAGTGGACTTGTTCAAATGTTTGGCATGGCCTTGAAGGCGACGCCTAACATGGCACAGTTCACGCCAAATGTTTCATCAATCCCTTTCTGGTCACTGTTGGGAAAATTCCACCCACGCTCTTGAGTGCGCGCCGTCACCGATTTTGCCAGCAGACTATCAGTCGTTGGTATTGACAACCAGACTTTAGTCAGTTGCTCTGTGCATCTTTGGAGCCAGACTTTAGTCGGCTCCTAGATAAGATCCCACAAGATCAGCAATCGCCTTGACATCGATTGCCTCACCAACATCAATGACACCTGGTTGCTAACTTCTGGTGGTTCAATTCGCTGCACTGCGTTCCAGCCGCTTTGTTTTTGACGAGCCTCTGCATGCTTGCGGCTTTTGACGCTTCTTTTCGTGTCCGCCTGTTGCAAGATCTATCCAAATCACATTCACGATGTTCCACACCCTCAACACCACCGACTTCTAGCGCTTACTACCTGCGGATGGCTCAATTGCTGTGCGGCGTCCCATTGACAAGCCTCTGCATGCGTACAGCCTTTGACCTCTGCATTTTCCCGCCACCTGAAGTCTTTAATCCAATCAGCCAATGACAGCATCAATGGCAGTGAGAACCAAGATTCTCATTCCGAAAGCCGTCCGTGAACGACATAGACATATAATCATGTTAGTATTTTTTTTTTCACTGATTTTTTGGGAACTAAAAGTCTGGTGCTTAAGGGGAGCAATTTGTCGATACTACCTCAGCTTTCAACGCGACGTTTAACCGCATACAGCCTTCCAACTGCTTTCAAAAGGGATTGGCTACCTACCTCGCTTTGCTCATGGTTAACCAGCTTGCTATCAGGTTTCTCCTGGTTTCTCCACCGTTCGCTCAGACACGAATCTTTGAACATGATCGTTGCCACGCCGCTCGTCCCCTCTTCACACGCACTTTTTGCACGTGTCATTACTTCCTCAAAATAATAAATCATCATCACAAATTGGCTGAAAGTCATCACCTCCAACCCTTTCAAAACGCGCTCTATTGTGGCTGGCCAAAAAGACATCTCAATTTTCTCGCCGATGCAAGTCCAACACTGTTAAAAGTGGCCACGTCAACTTTCAACATGTCGCCATGTCAAATTTCAACGCATCGTCAGGAAGAACCTCTGGGACTTTACTCTGCGCATGAATTGGGAATGCAGAGCGCAGTAAGTGCAATTTTGCAGCAGTATGAGTATCTTCTGATGTGCTTCCTAGTAGTCCAATACGAAGCGAGGTGCATTCTCCCTGCCCAAACGGGATGCATATCTTTTGCATCGAAGATATTTCAGATAATGAATCCCATAGAATGATGTAGTTGTCATTTTTTTCATCATAGAGAGTCCGCTATGCACTTTACTATTGGCAATCGGGGCTAGCGCCTAAATGCCAATCCATACTAAATACCATTACTCTGCCTTCTTGAGGCCCTTCTGGAGTTGCTGCACTAATGGCTCCTGTCTTCACGCCCTTGGATATGAAGACTTTATTTGCCCCTCCCCATCAAAGCCAAATATGGGCTCATGTGAGTCGACTCCCTCAAACATTTATTAACAGCTCATCCTCTCTCGCAGAGCTCTCTTTCGCACCAATTGTCATACCACCAACTAGAAACCAACTCCCATTCTTATTATGCCACCCGAGCAAAAAACAAAAAAAATTCAAACTCTGGCACGCCTGGTAGCAAGAAAGCCGTAAGTTCGCCCCATCCTCCTGCCACAATTCATTTATATTGATGTGGCGTTACTTTCAGGCCCTTCGAGTCAGAGGTACCGAAGACCGCAATGCCCAGATTGCCAATGGTGGAGAGCCTGCTCCCCCCGCTGATCATGGGGGAGCTGGTGAGGATGTCGCCCTGCAAGAGGCACCGACCGCCCTTCCGCAACCCCACAAGAAGCCACGTGAGCTTATAGACTGTGTCCTCATGCAGCCTAGCAAAACCCGTTCTCGAATGGAGACAGCTGGGGTTACAGCAAGGTGAGGCATTTGTGTTATATTGTTCATTCATCGCGGAATCAGACTTCAGTCGATTCCTTGCCAGACTTTAAGTCGGCAAGCCAGGTCGGCCAGACTCTAAGTCAGTCGACGAGGCAGCGGCGGCTCTGGAAACAAATAACTGACTATAGTTTGGCAGAGTTGAACAGTCGCTTTTGGAATCTAGTGCTGCGTCGGCACCCACTGTCGCTGTGCCAATTGCAACAAGGAAAACCGCTCCCACTGCGCAAACCACGGTGACCACCGCTCCCGGTGCACTGGACCCTGTGGTGACCACGATTCCTGAACCAGCATCGGCTACCAAAGACGACCCTCCCCCTCGGGTGACACTCTTATCCTTGGCCGAATTCGACAACGATGAGATCGAAGCGATGAATCAAGAACTGGAATCACGCGATACAGCCTACCGCTTCTCCTATCTAGAGGGCGGGTACAGGCAATACCATGGTCGTCGCCCTGTGAAGGGGCTGCGCAGTCCAGCGGATGACCGCACTATGATGCAGGATGACGAAACTCTCTGCTGGGTCCCCATTCCGGCTGGATATACAGCTCCACACACCCCAGAAGATTACATCGAGGCGGTCAATGACTTTCGCAAACAAGATCGTCAATGTGTGGCTTATGCCCACCCTGAGGCTCGCAAGGCTTTCAATGAACTCAACCTCTCCCGCCATCCTGGTGACCCCGAGATTGAGCTTGAGTTCCTTTACAATATATCAAAAGAGGAAGAAGCAGTGCTGGTTGCAGGGCTCGAGCAAGATGAAGCCGCCTACAAGTTTAAAAGACCATGGGAGGAGGGCTTTATTCGTTACCAAGGCCAAAACCCTTGAGAGGGTATCCAGAACGCTGCCGACAGACTCACCGAAATATGGGATGAGGAGAAAGAGAAATATGTATCCATTCCCGAAGGGTACACTGCCCCTCACGACCCTCAAGATTATATTGATGCCCTAAACTGGGAGATTGCAGAGGCTGAAACAACTTGCCGCGCTGAGCTTGCCAGTGCCGCTCAAAGGGCTAAGCGCAGGGGAGGTGAGGACTGGGAAGCCCCCGATCCTATGATAGAAAGTGACTTGAGTGGCTCAGACTATGAAGAAACTTGGCGCAACAAGGAGACAGAGAGGGCTCAGCTCAGGTCGAGGGGAAAGCCTGCAACGGACACGGAGGAGGAGGATGAAGAAGAAGATCGCGAGATGCAGCGTGAATTGCAGGAAGAGATGAATTTGAAGGCATCTGGATGTTCCAAAGGTCTCGCGGCAGCTCAAAGTAAGAGGACCAGCTCTGACAACAAAAAAACTTCACCGAATCCAACCATTTCACCACCAGCCGGTATCTCTTGGGATGCACTGAAGGCTTCCCTGTCGCCCTCTGAACTCGATGCCTCTGCAGTGTTGAGAAGTTTCAACCTCAACTTGATGCCAGAGGAGCTAATTCCCAAGGTCGACACTGTTTCATCTCAGAAGCCTTCTCTCATGGACAGTGCACTGTATCGATTGTTCTGCAGGATTGTATGGCAATACACAGCTTGTCTCGGCCACCTCAATAGCCATTCTCCTGATTTTGTAATGGAAAAGGCTAATTTATTACAGAAAGAGAAGAGGGCCCCCAATCGTTACAATGTATTCAAGACTTTTGCTAGCAGGTCCAAGCCTGACGACGATGATCATGGTATGTATCTCAGTTCAGAAACTTACTATTGCCACTGATGAAAATGATGAAATCACTATAGAGGGCTTGCAGACATGGAACAAAAACCTCAATGAGGAGTATAGGAAGCTCATGGAAGGTGCAGACACGAGTGAGGAGAAGGACGAGCGAATGGCGGAAGCATTCAAATTTGTTAAGGAGCAAATTGCTGATGAGGGTACCAGTATTCGCGATGCATCTTTGCGCTTTGCGGAGCACCTCAAAACAATTACAGACATGGTACATGACCATGCCAGTTCAACGCGCTCCACTAATTCTCACTTAGATCACGACCATCAAACGGCGTGATCATTCCTTCGATGTCGCTGGCATACTTGTCTACAGCGGCAAGAATCGCACTGCGCGAAACAAGTCCGGGCTCTTTATGAGCTCTCCTGAACTTCGAGAGCTCTGCAGCAACGAGCAGTGGCCGATCAGCACGATCACGGACATCTTCGTTACTAAAGTCAGGTATGCCTATGCTGTGTTATGATTATTCTCTCCTTTGAACATATTATAGGGTGATGCATGCCGACCGAATGATCAAACAACATATGGCAGGATCCTATACTGATGGAGCGTCCACTGAGCCATCGACGACACCCTCGCAGCTGTGTCAGCCAAGTGCCAGCTCATCCGCAAGGCTCGCTCCGAAGGGTGGGTTGCAGAGGATTGTGTCTGCCCCTCCCATCTCTCAAGATATTTTGCCCAACTCGAATAATCCTCAAAGGCAATTCACACAGATTTTTATTTCTCTGCTAAGTATGTTTCATAGAATAGTAACATGTGCAAGTTCATTACTCATCACGGATCTAGGCGAACATAATGCGGAACACACCACTGTTCCTTGGACAACGTGGCCCAACATGGCATTCAAATTGAAGAAGGTCATCGTCAGGTGGGACTCCGATGTGGTTGATATAGCTTTCTGTAGGGCTTTCGCGTATGGGAAGATCAGTAACAAGCAGTGGTGCCATCTCTCGAGACTCATTCTCGAAGGTGTTCTCACTATCAAAGACTGGACAGCAGGTAAGCGAGCTTTGTTCGCCAATTAACTCATATGTATTCACGACATTCTTTAGAGCAGAAACAGATTCCTGAAACCGATGCTCGCTTTGGCGAAATTCCCGTCGTTCTCAACTTGCGTGGCTTGCCTATGGTGTTTATCAAAGACTCCTCCAACTGGGTGTGCCAGAACTGCAAAATTGACTCAGCAACTCCATATACGCCACGCACTCCCTCTGCTGCTTCCTCTCCCACTCTTCTTTCATCCAAGAAGCGCACCTACAAGGATCTGTCCCTGGTTACTGAAGAGAATGCAAGGAGAGAGCATCATAGTGTTTCCACTCCTGTGCAAAATGAGATGGAACCGCCGGCAAAGCGCCAGCGTCACGTTATGTTCTCCTCTCTTCCGACTTGTGGGTGTGGGCCAGTGCTTTGCATGGCATGTATGAGTCCTTTCTGTGGACTCTAAATTTAATATTAGGAAATTGGTCATGTAATCACTTTATGATTTTCTGAGTTTTGTTCTATATTTGCAAATAGACCCTGAGCTCTGAGCCTAGCCATCAATATCAGAGCAACAATGTGTGCTATTCTTTTTTTTTCTTTTTTTTTCTTTTTATAGCAAATTTTCCCAATTTTATACCTATTTTTCTGTTTATGGTAAAATATTCCCACAGTCCTGTGTGCATATATCTCAGGAAAGAGGATGGTTAGTTATATTTTGTGACCATGCTCTATATATTTGTGATGAATTTCCTTTTTTGGGTTAAAATTCCCACAGTATCAGAAGCACAGCCTCTCAGTTAGCTCCATAAACAACAATTGTAGCCCCTTTCCTTACCTTTATAGATATATATAAATAATGTCATGCAGACCATTCCTCATTGAGAAAAACACAAAATACTGAAAAAATTGGACACTTTTTGGAAATTGTCATGCATTTTTGACCAATATCTGAAAGAGCAAGAAAGCTGGTCTCAAGATATCGTCACATTGCATGATATGACAATATTTTTACATGGTTGTCTTGATTTTCCATATTTGGATATGGACCCTGAATACTGGACACAGCCCCTTCAACACCATGGCAACAGAGAAGATCACTCTTAATTTTTGGGTATTTTTTTCTGATTTTCTGGCAACTTTTAGGTGATTTCTATATTTAGATATTGACCCTGAACCCTGAACACAGCCTCCCCACCTTACTAAGCAATATTCTGATTTTTACATATTTTTTGCTGATTTCTTTTACCATTTTTCCTGATTTTATGGCTGCTTTTCTGTTTAAGGGAAAAGGTTCCCGCGGTGATGAAAGGTAAATGAATCAATGAATGAAAAATTTGCCTAAGTCCTCAGTTGATAAAGAATGAGTCTTACTCGTAAACTCGTAAGGACTCATAAACTCGTAAGGACTCATAACAACCATGTTCTATATGAAACATTGGCAAGAACAGTTATTGCAGAAGAGTACAGCTCATCATTCACCATTCAACCAACCCTCTTCATCGTCATCGAGCCAAGCTACCCTCACTTCAAAGCCACCTGCAAACCAAGTCACCAAGTCTATCTTAGGAGGTCGTTACAAGGGCAGTGCCGGTCCTAGTAAAAACTCTACTGGTTTCCTGAAAGATTGATCAGCATCGGTATC